GCCCGCGGCCTCGCGCGCCCAATCCGCGAAGTGGCCGTTTAGAGAAGGGATGGTGAGCCAAGCCGCCCCTTACACTCCCCGAGATCCCTAGCGGAGCCCCTCTGGCACAATTCCAACCTCCTCTGTGCCCGCGCCACCAGCCCTGGCCCGGCCTGGGGGGACCTTGATGCCTGGGGGCAGCGGGGCCGACCCCAATCTGGCGCTCACCGCTCCGGAGACCAGCTGGGAGTCCGCTCAGGCTTTGGCGCCTGAGAGCCGGGATCTGGGGGCGACAGGGTCGGTAGGACCAAAGGAGCCACCGCGCCACGTGCAGCCCGGCAGCCCGCCAGCCGCACGGGGCCAGCCTCCTCCGGGCCGTGGTGCCGGAGCGGCTCGGGGCGCGCCGGGCTGTCCGCCTGTCCCCCGGCCCGCGCCTGCCCGCCCGCCGGCCCGCATCCCTGTGGCCCCGCTTCGGCTCCCTGCGAGTGCGCACCTGGCTGGCCCGGCGGGGTTGGCTGCCAGCTCTGCGGCCGCTGCGCCCCGGCACACGGTGGCCACGGGGGCTCCTGTCCTCGCGCCTCCTCCCTGGCTCTCCAGTTCGAGTTGCACGGGAGAGGGAGGCCTCTGGGCGTCCCTGGAGCCAGGTCTGGGAATTGCACTTCTTTCCTCGGTCCCAGCGTGCCTGCAGCACCCCCTGCAGTGAGTCCCTTGCACGGTCGCCGGGGACGCATACCCAAGCACGGCAGTGACAAGCGGCCCCCTCCGCCTCTGCGGGTTGTATAGTAGCCTTGAGCGTTGGAGTTACAAGGTCTTGATTTGAATCAGATGTCCAATATACAGAAAACGACGCAAAACAAATGTGAAGCTTAGTGAATTATTATAAAATCAACACCCTTATAACTACCATCCAGGCCAAGAAACTGTACTTTTCCAGCCGCCCCAGAATACTCTCCCCGGGCCTCATTCAGATCTCAACCACTTCTCTCCTTCCAAAAGTGCCCGCTGTCCTGACTTTAACAGTAATTACTCTCGAGTTTCTTTATAGTTTTTAATCATCCAAATGTGCCTCTCTAGACGCTATAGATTAGTCTTGCTTATTTTGTTGATGTCTGGCAAGTCTCTGTTAATCTGCAGGTTCCGTCTCCATCTCTTTCCCTTATATTCCTGGAAGAACCTGAGCCATGTACCCTGTCGAGTTCTCGAGTCTGGACCTTGCAGATTGCATTCACACAGCGCAGTTCAACACATCCCTCTGTTCTCCACATTTCCTGCACGTGGACAACTGGGTCCAGAGGCTGGATCAGACTCAGGATCAAGTTTTTTTTGTTTGTTTGTTTTTTAGGAAGATTAGCCCTGAGCTAACTACTGCCAATCCTCCTCTTTTGGCTGAGGAAGACTGGCCCTGAGCTAACATCCCTGCCCATCTTCCTCTACTTTATATGTGGGATGCCTACCACAGCATGGCGTGGTAAGCGGTACCGTGTCCGCACCTGGGATCCGAACTGGCGAACGCTGGGCCACTGAAGTGGCACATGCGAACTTAACCGCTGCGCCAGTGGGCCGGCCCCAGGATCAAGATTTTTGATGAGACTGTAGGTGTCAGTGTGCTAGCTCACCAGGGGCACATGATGTCTGGCTGTGTCTCTTTTCTGAGATGTTGGCAGAGATGATGTTCAACGCTTACTTTCGTCAATTCATTGGGGGGTGGAAAATGGGAATATTCTAATTCTATCATTTCTCTTTCATTTATCAGCTGGATAAATTTTGTAAAGAGACACTGCCCTTCATGTACTATTTGGTTGCCCAGTGGAACAGTTAGTTCACGGAGGAAAGGCAGCGTAGACGCTTGTCTCTTTTCATTTATTTATCCATTTTCAGGAGAACGAACTGCTACCCTGTTATCCTCTAAAGATGATGAATTGGTTTAAAAAAGTACCATGAAAAAGTCAAGGACTTAAACATATTTGACGAATTTCAATACATTCCAAATTAGTATCATTATTGATGTTCAAATTGTCCCATCTTTGGCCAGTCGGAGCCTCTTCAGATTAACTCGAGTCCTTTTGATGTGTCCCTAGTAGTCTGAATACTTCCTTGCCATCTGGTTTGGCAAGATGTTTCAAGCTCATCTTGTGTGTTTCCCGCCCAAGACTAGAATCAGCCATTTCTTCAGGAAGCTGTGGTTTCTTTTAGTGGGGAATAATATTGAAGACCACATTGGGATGTTAGGAATCCTCCTGGCTTCTGGGTAGATCAATGTTTCTAAGTCTTTCCAGCGGGAAGAGCTAGAAATTACATACATGATAAAATACACAGAGAGTTTATACTGATACATCCAGTTCAAATTGAGGACCGGAGGGTTTTTACTTAACCTCTTCTGTTACATCTGTATCTCCTTTCTTCCACACTGGGAATCCTGGTTCCCAAGGATGCAGGGAATAATTGAATTAGAATATCCAATTAGTTATTTGTTGTATCTCAACTTATGCACAGACAAGTTCAGAATAGCAATCAATGATACCATATAAGATATTGATGAAAGAAATTAAAGAAGATACAAATAAATGGAAAGATATTCCATTCTCATGGATTGGAAGAATTATTATTGTTAAAATGTTCATAATACCCAAAGTAATCTACAGGTTCAATGCAATTGCTATCAAAATTCCAATGGTATTTTTCACAAAAATAGAACAGATAATCCTAAATTTTTGTATGGAACAACAAAAGACCCCAAACAGACAAAGCAATCATGAGAAAGAAGACCATGGGGCTGGCCCCGTGGCCAAGTGGTTAAGTTCGCACGCTCCGCTGCTGGCGGCCCAGTGTTTCGTTGGTTCGAATCCTGGGTGCGGACATGGCACTGCTCATCAAACCACGCTGAGGTGGCGTCCCACATGCCACAACTAGAAGGACCCACAACGAGAATATACAACTATGTACTGGGAGGCTTTGGGGAGAAAAAGGAAAAAAATAAAATCTTTAAAAAAAAAAAAGAAGAAGAGCAAAGCTGGAGGCATCACATTCCCTAATTTCAAAGTACATTACAAAGCTATAATAATCAAAACAGTATGGTATTGGCATAAAAACAGACACATAGATCAACGGAACAGAACAGAGAGCCCAGAAATAAACTCATGCATATATGGTCAATTAACTTACCACAAAGGATCCAAGAATGTACAATGGGGAAAGGAGAGTCTCTTCAAGAAATGGTGCTGGGAAAACTGGACAGCCACATGCGAAAGAATGAACCTGAATCCCTATCTGACGCCATACACAAAAATTAACTCAAAATGGATTAAAGACTTAAGTGTAAGACCTGAAATCATAGAACTCCTAGAGGAAAACATAGGCGGTAAGCTCCTTGACATTAGCCTTGGCGGTGATTTTTTGGCTCTGACTCCAAAAGCAAAGGCAACAGAAGAAAAAATAAAGAAGTGGGACTACATCAGACTAAAAAGCTTCTTCACAGCAAAGGAAACCACCAACAAAACGAAAAGGCAACCTACTGAATGGAGAAAATATTTGCAAATCATATATCTGATAAGGGGCTAATATCCAAAATATATAAAGAACTCGTACAACTCAATAGCAAAAAAACCAAACAATCTGATTAAAAAATGGGCAGAAGAGCCGAATAGACATTTTCCCAAAGAAGACATACAGATGGCCAATAGGTACAGGAAAAGATGCTCCACATCGCTAAACATCAGGGATGCAAATCAAAAGCACAATGAGATATCACCTCGCAGCTGTTAGAATGGCTATTATCAAAAAGACAAAAAATGACGAGTGTTGGAGAGGATGTGGAGAAAAGGGAACCCTCGTGCACTATTGGTAGGAATGTAAACTGGTGCAGCCACTATGGAAAACAGTATGGAAGGTCCTCACAAAATTAAGAATAGATCTACCATATGATCCAGCTATCCCACTGCTGGGTATTTATCCAAAGAAAATGAAAACACTAATTGAAAAGATATATGCACCCCCATGTTCACTGCAGCATTATTCACAATAGCCAAGATATGTAAACAACCTAAGTGTCCACTGATGGATAAATGGATAAAGAAATTGTGGCATATACACAATGGAATATTATTCAGCCCTAAAAAAGAACGAAATCCTGCCATTTTCAACAACATGGACGGACCTGGAGGGCATTATGCTAAGTGAAATAAGTCAGAGAAAGACAAATCTCACTTACATGCGGAATATAAAAAAAAAACAAAAACTAAGCTCAGAGAGAACAGAGTGGTGGTTGCCACAAGCAGAGGGTGGGGAGGGAGTGAAATGGGTAAAGGGGGTCAAAAGGTAGAAACTTCCAGTTATAAAATAAATAAGTCCTGGGGATGGAATGTACAGCATGGTGACTATAGTTAATAATACTGTACTGTATAATTGAAATTTACTAAGAGAGTAGATCTTAAAAGTCCTCATGACAATGAAAAAATTTTTTGTAATTGTGTGGTGGTGGATGTTAACTAGACTTATTGTGATGATCATTTTGCAATATAGTCATGCATCGCTTAACAATGGGGATATATTCTGAGAAATGCCTCATTAGGTGATTTCCTCCTTATATGAACATCATAGAGTGTGCTTACGCAAACCGAGATGGTATAGCCTACTGCAGACCTAACCCCTAACCCTAACCCGTCGGATGCTAATCTTATGGGACCACCATCCTATATGCTGTCCATTGTTGGCCGAAACGTCATCATGTGGCACATGACTGTATATACGAATATCAAACAATTATGTTGTACACCTAAAACTAATATAATGTTATATGTCAGTTATACCTCAATAAAACAATAAGTAACTACAATATCCTAGGAAAAAATACCAGAACTAGTTATGACTTGTTGCATATTTCAATTCTCTCCTTTTCCTCCCCCATTTTTTTGTCTGTACCCTATCTACATTCTCAGAACATACAGTCATTACATACTATAATCTCTCCTGTTTAGCACTCATTTAATGTTAATTCAACAAGTAACTATATATTTGCTGCTCACCACCAATCCTTAGGGCGATGTCTCTTTATCTTGGTTTCTGAAGCCGGTTCTTGAGTAGATTCCTCAAGGAAGACTTCCAGAACACTCTACAGTAAAAGCATAATAAAGACGGGATCACTATGACTGATTTTTCCTTTTGCCTCAGGTTCTAGTGTGGCTTAGTACAGGACCGTCAATGATCCTATCTTTATTTAAAAGTTTGACATTTTGCTTGTCAAGAATTTTTGCCATTAAATTTCCTTTTAAAAAAATTATTGCATTAAAATCTCATTATCTTGATGACTGAGTTGTTTGGCGCCCCCTGAAATTTCACCCGGGACAAGTGCCTTTCTCACCTCACCCAGACCCTGGCCCTGAGTTGGAGCTTCTCTTTCCTCTGTCTTTGCTGTTCCCATCCTGCTTAATTTGGATCCCACTCCCGACAGGTGCTGTCCATTTTGGGGTCCACTTCGGGACAGGAGCCCTGGTGGCTCAGTGTGAGAATTCACAGACCTGCAGACCCCACGATAGAGCCCTGACTGCCTCACTCACTGGTGGAGCGAACGGGGCCCCTCCCCGGCTCAGCTGCAGGTCCTCACTCCTCCGTTCCTGTACCGCACTCCCTCAGGCTCTCCTGCTGGTCCTCATTTGGCTCCTGCCCCTGGGCTCTGCTGGAGGTGAGGGAGGGCCTCCCTCAGCTCTTGCACTGGGTGTGTGTGCAGGGCCCCAGGGGCCCAGGCACCCTGCTGCTCCCTTCTGCTTTCCCCGACACTCACAGCTGTTGTGCAGGTCTCATGGCTGCTCTCCACTCATTCATATTTTGTAGTAACAGGGAGCTTGTCGCCTAGTCTTGTTGCAAATATTGCCCAAGGGTTTTGGTTTTAATGTCTTATTGCTCTGTGTTTACGTGGGGATTCTGGGAGACACAAAACTATGCTTCTACCACAACTGCCATCTTCCTAGAATTCTTAAACTTATTTTTAAAATGATACTGTAAAAGAAAACAATGGAGTGCCAGAATTACCTTTTCATGTATAGAAAGCATTAAAAAAAATAACCACGTAAAAGACAAAAATACAGCCTGCCGTCTGCTCCAGGCTCAGGTCTATTCTCACTGTTAACAAAGGAGTTGGCCACTGCTGGGCATGTGACAGCTCCTGGTCCAGGCAAGATGGTAGACTCAACAGTCTGAACACCCTTGTGCTCCTAACACCCAGACGTGTGAAGGCCTGGCCAAGCTCAGAAGGGAGAAAGGCAAAGGCCCAATGAGTGAAGAGGGAAGGGAAACCAGGGGTGCACATTCATGATCCAACGCTTCAGCTGCCAGGGTGGGGGTCCTGCTATTGGCCACGGAGCCTGATGGCTGAGTTTCATTGCCTTGTGACAGGAGAGGAGTCAGGGATTAGGGGCTGAGATACAAACACATAAAGCCAGGTCCCTGGGTGGACCATACCCCTAACAGAAAGTCAACCAGGAAACATTCTACTCATCGAGGAAGGTTTATTGTCTGGGCTCTGGGTGAGGAAGAAAAGGACTCCTCTGAGGGGACAAAAATTCGAGGCCTATGCTATGGACTGAATATTTATGTCTCCCCCTAAATTCCTGTGTTGAAGTCTTAACCTCTAAGGTAATGGTATCGGGGGGTGGTCAGGTCATCAGGACAGAGCCCTCATGAAAGGGATTAGTGCCCTTATAAGAGGCCTGAGAGAGGCCCCTTGCCCCTTCTGACACGTGAGGACACAGCAGAAAGTTGGCTCTCTACAAACCAGAGAGTGGGCCTTCACTAGACACTGAATCTGCGGGCAATCTTGGACTTCTCAGCCTCTAAAATTGTGAGGAATAAATTCTGTAGTTTCTATGCCATCCAGTCTATAGCATTTTGTTACAGCAGCCTGAATGGACTAAGACAGCCTGTGATCTGGACAGCCGGTGTCTGGGGACAGGTGTTAAAGATGTAAATAAAACAGAGGAAGGGGGTGAGCATGGGGAGTGGGGGACATTTTATTTTAACTAGGGTAATAAGTGAAGTCTTTGGGTCAGGAGGAAGATTAGGGAAATGATATTTAAGGAAACTATATGACCATAGGGCTTGAAAATGCACTTGAAAAAATTCAATATCCTTTTCTGATTAAAAACCAAAATAACAAAATGGCAATAGGTACAAATGTCCTTAGCATGACAATATATGTGTGTGTGTGTGTATATATATATATATATATACACACACACACATCTCAACCCCAAAGCCAGCAACATGCCCTGATCTTACCATGAACAAGAGTCAACAGACAAATGAAAGGATTAGAATTTCAAGGAACTTCAGGAAATTGAATAATCAGAGAAAACTATAAAATAAATTCCTTTAAGTTGGTTAAAAACCTAAAGATTGCATGGAAACAGAATAAGAGACTATGAAAAAAATAACAGGAAAATTAGAAAAGCTAAACAAGATAAAAAGAATTTCTAGAATTAAAAAAACAGTGCCGTGGAAATGAGAATTCCATTGGATGGGTTAGATAGCAGATTAAACGTGGTTGAAGAGAGAATTAGTGAACTGGAATGCTGAAGAGAGATAAAGTGATGGAAAATAAAAAGAGGGTAAGTACAATAAGAAACATGAAGTATAGAAACAAAGAGTTTAATATACACTGAAATTTTAGGATGAGAAGTAGAAGGAGTGGTGAAGAGACAATATTTGAAGATTTTTATAATTATAGAGAGATGGATCTTGATCCAAGTCCTAAGCAGGAAAAATAAAAATAAACTCAAATCTTGCCCTATAGTAATTATTCTGTAAAATATTAAATACAAATGCAGACTTTATCACAACAGAGGAGGAAAAGCAGACTACTGAAAGGAGCATCAATGAGACCCAAGAGCAGACTACTCGGTCGTAAGAACTAAGGGCAGAACAGAAGGCAGTGATATCTTCAGAGGGACAAAGGAAAGTCACAGAAGTGGTCCAGATTTTTTTTTACTCTGAACTACCCTTCAAGAGTAAAGACAAAATAAGAAAATTTCAGGGCCGGCCCGGTGGTGCAGCGGTTAAGTGTGCAGGTTCCACTTCTCAGCGGTCCAGGGTTCGCCGGTTTGGATCCCGGGTGCGGACATGGCACCGCTTGTCAAGCCATGCTGTGGCAGGTGTCCCACATATAAAGTAGAGGAAGATGGGTACGGATGTTAGCTCAGGGCCAGTCTTCCTCAGCAAAAAGAGGAGGATTGGCAGCAGATGTTAGCACAGGGCTAATCTTCCTCAAAATAAACCAAAACACTACATATCAAAACTCATAGCATACAGCTAAAAGCAGTGGTTTTGGGGAAATTTCCAGACAGATTAAAGACCTAACCACAAAAAGCAAAATGTTTTATAGAAAATATAGGAAACTACCTCATGAAATCAGAGATAAGGAAGAGCAAGACACAAAAAACCAAAACACGTAAAATAAAAGAATGATAAATTTGACTATATTAAATTTATAAACCAAAAATAAACAAACAGAAAAGACAAAATACAGGGTAGGAGAAGGAATTTCCAATGCATATAACTAAAAATTAGCATGAATTTATAACAAACTCCCACAAAATAATAAGAAAAAGATAAGCAACCCAATTAAAAACATGCAAAGGATGAGAATAGTCAACTTGCAAAGGAGAAAACACGATTGGCCATGAAGAGTCTTAATCTCAATAATAACGGGGAAACGCTAATTCAAAAAAATGAGATGCTTTTACACACTCACAAGATTTGCAAAAATTAAAAAGTTAAAAAATTAAAAAGCTAATACACTGAGCAGGTGAGACCATGATGGAAACAGGAAATCCTACACTCTGCTTGTTGGACTATGAATCAGCTGACCACGTGGAGAGCAATTCCCAGCCCTGCTTAGGTCTCTGCACACCCGGCGATGGAGACATTCGTACGTTGCTGCTCTAGACAAGCCCTTTCTCTTATTCATCAGGACACAAGTGCCAAGAGGCTCACTGGGGCACTGTTGATGATTCTAGAAAGGTGCAAATAACCCAACTCTACCTTGTAGGGGAATGAGTGAGCAAACTCTGGAATTGCTCTAAAGCAGCAAAGCCACAGAGGAAGAACCCCACCTGCAACGCATCTAAATATCAAAACACCATGCAAGGAAAAAGCAACCTGCAGTATGACACACACAGCATTATAATACTTTAGGTAAAGTGAAAAACGCAAGGAAACTGTGATACACATCATTAATGGAGATGTACTCATATGCCAAAGTGTAGAAAAGTCCATTAGACCTTACAACAGAATAGCTCACCCAATAACTGATACTATACGCCAAGAGCCATGGTGCGGTGGGACGGAGGCAGCAGTAAGGTAATGGATGGGCCTTGGCTATATCTAGACTGGATTATTTATATTATACAGAGAGTAGGAGCTCTGAAGCAGAAGGATATCGTGGTTATTTCTGCATGATGGATGCAGGGGCATCTTTTATCTCTCTACTTCTCAGCATGTTTAAAAGTTTTCTAAGTAAAATAGATTACCTTTGTGTTGGTATTTTTTTTATTGAGTTCATAATAGTTTACATCAGTGTGAAATTTCAGTTGTACATTATTTCTTGTCTGTCACCACATAAGTGCTCCCCTTCACCCCCTGTGCCCACCCCCCAACCCCCTTTCCCTGGTAACCACTGCTCTGTTTTATTTGTCCATGTGTTTATATTCCACACATGAGTGAAATCATATGCTCTCTGTCTTTCTCAATCTGGCTTATTTCCCTTGACATAATACCCTTCAGGTCTATCTAGTTGTTGCAAATGGGACGATTTTGTCTTTTTTATGGCTGAGTAGTATTCCTTTGTATATATATACCACATCTTCTTTATCCAATCATTGGTCGATGGGCACTTTGTTTCTATGTCCTCGCTATCGTGAATAATGCTGCCATGAACATAAGGGTACACAGGTCACTGTGAATTGTTGATTTCAAGTTGTTTGGGTAGATACCCAGTAGTGGGGTAGCTGGGTCGTATGGTATTTCTGTTTTTAGTTTTTTGAGGAATCTCCATACTGTTTTCCATAGTGGCTGCACCAGTTTGCATTCCCACCAGCAGTGTATGAGGGGTCCCGTCTC